AATACACAGGAAATACGAGCATTTTGCTCTACGCTGTGGAGAAGTTCAAAAGGCAGGCAGGGAGATGAGAGATAATGTGAGCGCGGAGAGCGGTAGAGAAGTCCGAGAGAGAGAGCATAGCAGATCAACGTTGCGACGCAGACAAGATATCGAGCGGTGGGCGGACCATGTTAAGTTTGGTGGAGTCTGTTAGAAGTCCTTGGCGCCTAGCGTCTTAGTGACGCTTTTCGATGTAGGAAAGGTGGCGCGACCTTGCACTTGCGTACCTAGCACTTCTAGCCACAGTAAGGGCTTGTTAAGTGGGTCTGAGCCCGAACTTTGCCTTTAATCACCATATTTACAAACAAGGACTCACCAAGACATCCAGTCGGCCAAACGCCTTGACTGTTCCGTCGACGATTTCCATCATCACCTCTTCCTTACAAACATCCCCACGAGCGAGAAACACCTTCTTTTCATCGCTGCCATTTACCGCCAGTACCATCGATTTTGTTTCCTCAAATAATTAACTCCTATTTTTTGAAAATGTTTCCTTCATCTAAACGATGTTCAAGACCAACGTTCAGTGTTTTCTCATCTCTTCCACAAATCGTCACCATGGCTCCTTCTTTAGCGAACAGCACTGCGGTAGCACGACCGATCCCATTGGACGAGCCTTAAAGAAATTGATTCGCAAAAACATTAGCAATGAGGCTATGGGGTGAAATTGTGCTTGCCCAACGAATGGGCAAAAAACAGTTTAAAAGGAATTGTACGCACCAGTGATGATAACCGCACGATTGTCGAATTGACCCATATCGGTTGCTTAAATTTGAACTCTAAATAACCTTTTCTATTAGTCCGTTTGAGGATTGAAAATTGATGGAACTCATTTCAATCAATATTGAAGGTTTGTGAATGAGGATTACATGATAAGGTAGGAAGTTGAAGAAGAGGAAAGGCAGGCAGGCACTCCAAGGGAGGGGGAAGGACGAACGTATGCCTATAGCGGCATAGTAGGGTCATACGACGACGCTCGCGACCGTTACGTCATACAGCCAGGGTCAACCCTACGTTGTTACGAGTAACAACGGGGGGGGTCGTACTCAGTTGAGCTTGGAGGGGGGGTCGTACCCTCTCGGTGGCCGACAGTGGGATTCTTGGTAATATCGGATAATAGCCAGCACGTTACGTTTTCGTAAGATGACTGATACTAGAGCATCTATAAACCACGCTTCCCTCTAAATGAGCTTTCAAATGAATCAGCGAATTAGAAGGGCGCCCGAGGCGTGGCGCGCACCAAGGCAAGGGATGTAGTGCAAGCGCATGCTCGGAGCTTTCTAGCACATCCTAAATTAAACATAAAATTGGTCTTCCAAGAAGTTACGGGCAGTGAAACCTAAGAAAACTCGCGTTTTCGAGAAAATGGCTTGAAGAATACCCCTCAAAATAAAAAGTAACAACGGGCTAATTTTTGAACTGCTGATCTTTCAGGAACGCTTGGGTGCTCGTTAGAAAGCTTGAAACCTGTAGTTTATTATACCGTGTTCAGCTTCCCAAATGAATGACTTTTAAGGAAGTTATGATCGTTTGAAGGTAAAAAAGTCGCGGTTCCAAAAAAATAGTAACGCAAACCCCCAAAAAAGTAACAACGGGACTAATTTTTGAACTACTGATCTTTCAGGAACGCTTGGGTGCTCGTTAGAAAGCTTGAATCCTGTAGTTTATTATACGTGTTCAGCTTCCAAATGAATGACTTTGAAGGAAGTTATGATCGTTTGAAGGTCAAAAAGTCGCTTTGCACAGAAAAAAGTAACAACGTACTAAATTTTTATTAAATTAACTTTCGAAGAATTTTTACCCATGGTTGGAGAGAGAATAATTTGAATTTTCCAAATCAAATCACTTCGGCGCTGAAGCTCGAATATGAAGGAAGTTATAGCCTTAGAAAGAGGGGTGTAAAAATTGTGTTGCAATTGAAGAATCGTGAGATTAAGTGTATTTCAATTGGAGCGATAATTTTTTCTGACTTCTCATAAGTTTTTATCAGGTAATATTGTCAATATTCCGGTCACTGGTTCAGTTTATTTCATCTCCTAGTTTGGTAACCCTTTGGAGTACACGGATATCTTTGAATGCATCTCATTTTTTCGTGTTTGGAAGCAGCGATGAATATCTGTCGTGGATTTTGCTAAAGTTTCATCTTTGATGACTTACGTAGAAATAAATATTGATGGTAAACACTGTCTCTACACAAGTGTCACATACAAGGGGGGTCGTATCAAATCACCCATGAAGGGGGGGGTCGTAAAAAATTTCCAAAGTAACAACAACGGTAGCCCTGCTACACCCTCGCATCCGCGACCTGTAGGCCACGGATACTAACCATTAGCGTCAGGCAAAGTGCAAGCAAGCATGAACTATACGAGTCATACAATGTAGTCCCTTCAGTGGGAGAAATCTACGGAAGGAAACCCTACTTTTCGGATCCTAGGGCGTTGTTCTTGGGTTTTTCTTGACAGTGTGCGAAAATACAGCTACAGTCTTCGCTCGACCGCTGCCACCCATCCAGAAACAGGTATGGTATCTTCTGAAAATTCCCAAACACCTTTCCCAATTCCAAAAGTGCGGATCACTTCACAGCGCACCACAGGAAGAAATATGTACGCTTGAGGGGAGCGTGCGCCTGACGTTGAAGCGATCTCCTTAAGCGAAATTGGATGTTTTGACATTTTTCGGCCTGCCATTAGAAAATGGATTTCTTGATTGAGCTATAAACCTGATTGATGATTATATTGCAGGGATTGATATTTGCAGTTGTGACATTCAAATAGATCAGGAAAAGGTGGCGCGTCAGGCCAAAGCCCTTGTTGGCCTGGCTACAGCCCACTGAATCTCCCTGGTGTCTATCTAACCATGATTCTAGCGGCTCTCTTTGATTAGCGCTGAGAAGGATTGGGAGAAAGCGCGTAGAGATTTTTGTGTACTAGAAGAATGGGCATTTTACCGTTGAAGAAAAATGACGGCTTTCGTTACGGGTTATGAGAAATGCCATTGAAATGCGGAATATTGACCAATAGGCCGAATATTACAAAAAGAGCCAGAAATATTATGAAAGAGGAACCATGGGCGCACAGATCAGCGAGAGGCAAATGTTTGAACTGTGGGAAACGCGGAAGAATGTGAATCGAGAGATAAAATTTGGCTAGACTGAAGGTTAGTGGTCCGATAGCAAACAATCGCAGCATATTCGCCAAAATCACTGGATCAACGCGAGAAATGTTTGTTCAAGGTTTAGAATAGGTTTCTATCAGTGCGCTCTAGTCTCTATCAGCACCCACTGATTAAGCGAGCCCACAGGCTTTGAATGACATATTTCGGAAGAGCATTCCAGTATAGTCACCCCTTTTGTCATTCACTGCTTCCGTTTTCAGCTGAGAATGACGGCAGTATTTCTTCTGTACGAATAGAAATAGGAAACATCTTTAGCGTTAGCCGCTCCTTATCTTCGACATCTGAGAGTCACGAAATCTGTCATTTAGTGCGGTTGGGGAGAGTCAAGGGGTGGGAGGAAATAAACCGTTCAACGGAGAATTCAGTTTCTAAGCGATATGCGAAAAACGCACAGGTCAGATGGCAAAGCTATTGAAGAGTCGCCGAAGTTTGGTTCCATTAATTGCTGCGTTTTGGAAAAGGCGCATCAGGAAATTTTCTGAGCGTTGAAGACAAGTGGTGGACACTCATGATAGATATATGACCGGTCAGGAGTTGTAAACAAAAAAGATAGAATTAAAATCAAAAAATTGAAAAAGTGTCGCAGGACTTTCTTGCCAACCTAATACAA